ACTAAAGTGAAATAAAAACTTTTAACATTTTAATATATAACAAAAAAAAAAAAAATTCTAAAATTAATTAAATTGAAATAATTAAATATTTTAATGAATTTGTTACTGTTCAAGTGAAAATTGTATTTGGCAAATATGTGACTTTTATAAAAATATTTTCAACTCAACTTTAAACTTGAGTTCTGGTGTTTGTTAAAATATGGCATATAATATGGCATAAGTGTCATTGAAAATCCAAAAAAATTATTATTATAATTATTAATTAAAATAAAAAAAAAAACAATTAATTGTTTAAAAATAAAAATTCTAATAGACTACAAGCAAACTTTAGAGTCGCGAAATGTACGTGAAAAAATGCAGTAAGTAAAAGTCATAATAATCAAGAGTAAAATTTCAAATCTGATTACTTTCCTTGTGAATTTCGACTTATGACAACGCATGCCAACGCCAACACCACCAACACCTGCACAATCATCATCACCAACGTCACTAGCGCCACCAACACCGTCAACTTTGTCTCATCGATGTTAAAAAAAAATAAAACAAAATATAAAAAAAAATTTGGAAAAAAAAACAATAAATAATTTCATGAAAAAAATTCTAGATAGAAATGTATCTCAATGTGCTTCAGTATGCCACGCTATGCTATGCTCTGTGTGTTTTTTTTTTGTGGTTCATTTTTATCTTAACAATTTATCGATTTTTGTTTAGATTACCGCTCTGCAATGATAAGACAATCTTTTCATACCCTACAAACGTTTTTTTTTTATCAGTGCATGTGAGTGTTTGGCATACGTATTTTGTTCTAATGAAGCTAATAATACTATACGCCATCCTCGCACCTCTTCTACTACTACACTCCATTTACTTGTACTTGTACCCTCTCAAATATAATTCTACTTTTTATCTTTCATATATTTCAAAATTTGTGCCTGCCATGTCTCATAGTCTAGTAGCCAGATATTCATATGCAAACTCAGATACAAATTTACCTATCTGTTGACGTCACAAGCGTCGTACTGAACTCATCACAACAATAATCAAAATGAACTGTAAAATATTATTTATACTCGTATTATTTATTCTCTCTTTAATTGCCGACTCAAACAAAATAAAACAAAAATTATTAATAATAAAAAATCCGATAATATTTCATTAAAGCAAAAATCATTTTTTCACAAAATTAAACTGCATTTATTGTTCTGTTCTGTTCATGCATTTCGCGCCATTTAATTAAATTTCGCACAAAATTCGCACTCAGAACGAAATTCGTCGTTCCACGCCGATTTATTCCATTTTTTCCATTTTTCGATTTTCGATTTTTGTTTGTTTATCGCAGTTTTTATGGCTTGTCATAAACTATTGTTTATTGTTTATTGACCATAAAAAAGTTTACAATTTTAAACAAATTAATAGGTTTATTAAGTCATCAGCGAGTCGAAATTGTGCTGCTGCCAAGCATAAATTGATTTACGGTGAAGAAAAATTTATATCTAAAAGTCAAGAGCTCATAAAAAATATGAAAAGTAATTTTATTTCATGGCGTACATCAAAGTATCTATCAGGTTCCATGTTAACACGGTCTACGTTGCTCATAAATAACGCCGAGATGAACTTTTTTAACTAAACTCATTTGCGGTTATAGATGTGTTAATAGGTTTTTCTCTCAGATTTAGTCGGTTGCGCATAGACGCGAATTAAAAGCTCAGATTTATTAGCCATCTTAAGCAAGTGGAAATAAAAATGGAATAATATTTTATATGGATGTCTGAAAGGAGTAAAAATATTACAATACAATCAATATTCATTTTTATAGATAGACGATTGTGAGTTCAGTGGCGCATTTAAAGGAATGTTTTAGGGTTCAAACCGATAAAGGATTTTTTTAATATATGTTAAATTTTTTTAATTTAATTTTCAAATTAATTGATAAAATCTCCCATTATTTAGTCTCTAGGCATTTATTTAAGACCGTGGTCTCAGTAGTGTACTTAACGGGATTTTTTGGAGTGCAAACACCACTAAAATAATAGAAATTAATAAACGATTTTAAAAATTCTCATTATTAATTGTCGATTTAAATCATTTAATGTTTTAAATCGCCTTTAAATATTTTGACCATTTTTGAACTTAAAATAGGCAATTCATAGTGGGCTCAGTAATGTACTTAATGGCTTGTTTTAGGGTCCAAACCCCACTAAAATAATAGAAATTAATAAACGATTTTAAAAACTTCCATTATTAATTGTTAATTTGAATCCTTAAATGCTTTAATATTTAATATTTACTAAAGAGGTTTTCGAACAGTAGTGAACTACAACAACAAAAATTATTTTTATATTATTTTCAATTAATTCAATTTTTGGCAGACCATACAACTGTTTCGAGTATTGCCAAATACCCTTCATCAGTGGTCTTGGAAATAATTCTTATATATAATTATTCGTAAATAATTATTTTTGAGACTGCAAGTACCAGGAATCGAACTTTTAATTATTTAATATTTAAATAAATATATTTAAATATTTTGTCAATTTTTGAACTTGAAATAGATAAATTTTAGAAAAAGCAGTACTGTTTTCAGGGTTAAAACCGCTCAAAAATATTTTGGAACATTCATTTTTATTAAATTAGTTTATTAATTAATTAATTAACTTTAAATTAGTTTTTAGAAACTTCTATTCCTGTGTCTTTATGTACTCATTAAAGATTAAAACTGCATTTAATCTTTAATTCTATTTTAAAAGTGAAATCTCGACTTCTTAATAATATTTCATATTATTTTTAACTTCAAATAGAAAAATAATCTAAATGTTTTCTTGTTAAAAAAACTTGAATTTGAAACACTACCTTAATTAAGTCTCCATGTACTCATTATAAGGTTAAAACCTTTCTTAAACATTTCGGCCATCTTTCAATTAGCAAAAAAGGATAAATAAATTTTTAATTAAATCTTTTCATATTTATTTTATAATAAACATAAACATAAACATAAATAAGCTCAAATTATTCATCAAAAACTTTTTTAAATGAGTGTCTTTGAAAAACGCCATTAGCGCTTTAGTTAAAAACATAAACTGTGGTTAATAGTTGATAGTAGTAGTTAGTTCTTTACATGGATTTACATGATGATAGACTATATTAAGATACTCTTTTTTTTACATTTTTGTAGAGGTATCCTATTAACAGTTAAGTTCAAAATTAGAGATGACAAGAAAAGATACTAGCTTTAGCTTTGCCGTTATATATCTTTTACACAGCATATTGAACTTATATTAAGGTTTTATACATGTAATAATATATATAATATAATATATAAAAATACCTAAATATATATTAAGGTCTTACATATATAATAATATATATAACATAATATATAAAACATATATATGTTATATAAATATATAAAATAATATTATATATATTTTATATATATAATATATAAAAGTTAGAAATTTACATGATTAGATGGTATTAAGCGATTTTCCAAGATGACAGACATGAAGAGAAATCGGACATTAGTTAACTGATCATTTAGTCTATTAACTGGTGTGGTCTCCGATAAAAATTAACCAGATCTATATGATGGTATGCTGTGTGATTAACTTATTAATCTAATATTAATATTATCAATACCGTGTTGATATCATAAATTGTATACACAAAAAAATTATCTAAAGAAAAAGCATATAAAAAAGATATTATAAATAAATACAAATATTAAACTAAAATATTAAACTAACTGCTTCTATTTAAGTTCACACAATCCTTTAAATAAATCAATAAAAAGTAAACTGAAATAAATCAAGTCATGAAAAATACCCCGATTATTCTCCAGAAATGTAAAAGTCAACAATTTATCAACGAAACTTACACAACTAACACACTAAGTTATACACCTAGTGAGAACTGTCGCTTTTTAAGTAATCTATGAAACGTGAAAAGTGTTTTTTATAATAGTAGTCATTCTTAAGAATCACTAAGTAATAATAATTTCTGCCTATTAGAGGTACTCTATAATTACATATAGATTATCTATAATCTATGATTATCTATAGATTATCTATAAACTATACTTTTTCTTATTTTGAAAATTTGCTCAATGCCACCTGTGTTCATTCTCTTTGTGTGCGTTTCAAAAAACACAAACCTATAATATATATATAGATCATAATATAGAAAGAAATAATTCTTTCATTTATATAAATTTAGCTCTTTGCTAAATAACGCAAATAATTTTATAAGTGTAGTTTAATTGAATGGCAAACAATAAACCAGGAAGAAAAAAGTTAATATCAAACTATACTAATATTTTATAAGTACATACATATACAAGTACATATAAGTACATAAGTATATACATAAAATATTTTAATAATTTTGTTGTTATATCAATTTTAATGTGCCTCAGATCTATGTGTGTTTCAAAACAATAATAGTCCCAATGAATGAAGGTCTTGAGATACAGATAGGTCTGCGACGTATTGAGATTGATATAAAAATAAAAATGATTATTAAAACAAAAATTTGAAATTGATTTACATTATTTATATTTATTTTATTTTTCACTAATATTTAAAACATATTCAAACTATAATTGGATATATTAGTGGTCATTTAAATAAAAAAATTTATTTGTATATATCTATTTATATTCAATATGAATAAACGTATACATATTTATACATATACTCGTTACAGTTAGTACAAAAAACATATGTAAAATAATAACATAAACAATTAAATAATTTGTGAAACATGTTACTCATACGCACTGCTGTGCCGTTAAATAAATGTGAAAAATAAAAAAGTTATACGAATTAAAATAAAAAAGGTAATATTCAATCTAAAGAAACATTAACTTAGCAAAAATGAAAACAATAAAAACTAATATTGAGAATTAAAACTAAAAAATCAAAAAATTTTAAAGAATATTAAAAAATTAATATTTCAATGTAATCAATAAATATACATTTGATGGAAAAAGACAAATTAAAATTATGATTGCCACCAACGAACCAATACCAGTTCAAAATGCAACTACAGCAATTCCAAATAATCTTGAGGAAGATACAAATAATTTGGTAATTGCATCCACAGCTACCACAAATGGTAAAAATACCGCAAATGCTGTGGTTACAGCCACAATACCAGTAACAGTAACAGATGAAACACTAACATCAACAGCAGTAAGAACCGTACCAATATTTACCTTAGGGACAACAGACGAAGAAGATAATGAAGACGATGATGAAGACGATGATAATGAAGAAACCGAAAATGACAATGATGAAGATGAAGATTTACAAGAAAGTGTTGATAATGATAAAAGTGACGAAGCTTTAGAAGATCAAACCAAAAGCTCGACAAAACAAATAGCTTCAAATGATGAAGATTCTTGCAAAACAACAAAATCTATTGAAGATAAACGTACTGAAAATGCTTCAAAGGAAAATGGTAAGCATTAACGTAAAAGTAAAAAAATATAATTAAATTACACAAATTAAAGAAAATACAATAATAAATAAATAAAAAAAAAACAAAATTAAATTAAAAATAAAAATAAATTAAAAAGTATATTAACATTAACTTTGAGTGATAAAGTGAAAGCCTAATTTTAGGCGCATTTTTTTATCCATCAATTTTATGTTCTGTTATTTACAGCGTACAAACGTGTCAATTAATACCAAACATATGTGTTATGTACTTGTTTCTAAAAATTGTTGAAATGTAAAAAAATATTTATTGAAAAAAAATTTAATTTATTTATTTAATTGTAAAAAGTACAAATTTAATTTGCATACACAAATGCACACTCTTTCACAAATTTAATCAAATTGGATTCGATTATTTTTGTATTGCTCTCATTTGCAGTCATACTTCATTTTCATTTTCATTTTCTTGCATTGTCCTATTTTTCCCCATTTCGTTGTCATGTTCTACTTCCTCTTCATTTCCTTTTCATTGTGTTTTATTTAAATGTATGTCAATCTTATTAAAATTACTTTTTTTTATTCCAAAGTTATGCGATGTACTGATAGATAAATTTTATTGACTCCATGCGGTTCAGTATTTGAAGTGATTTCTTAATTTTATTCACAATTTTGGTTTTATTTATTCTGGCAATGTTTTTTGAGTTTTTTTCTGTCAATTATACATTAATTTTATAAAAAGTTAAATAATGGTGTTTAAACCATTTCAGAGTAGTCCAAAGACCTATATATTATATGTATAATGATCCTTGGGATTTCATAATTTTGTTTTTAATTTTTGGATTAAAATAATTTTTGGCTCAGTTGAAGTTTTGAGCTTGGATTCTTAACAACTCATATATTTAGTAAAAACTGTTAATTTTTTAATGAATAATAATAGTATTTATAAAACAAACCGTTTATGTTTCATTTTCTATTGAGTTTGATGCTTCACATATCTGAAATTTCTGATGCATTCTACATCAGAATTTTCATGGTGCCCTGAATAAATAACAACCGAACTTCACGCTCTTTTTCGTTGGTCCACAATTGACATGATCGCTTCATACTGAATCAGGATGTGTCAATCTCTATCTCAATTGACTAAATTTGCTCTAATCCGGGCCACGATTGAGCGTTCGACTTTCTTATACCTAGTAGGTACGACTAAACTTTAGACAAAGTGATCTCTTTTAACATAATAGACATCAACTTAGACGGCTTTTTAGTCAACGAGTCGATTTCAGTAAAAAACGCGATTTTAGTTTTTCACTTTGGCTGTTTAACAATTGCAGTGTTTTTCAGACAGAAGTAATGGCAATCCACTATACTGTAACATAGACTCTAGATAACTCGATTCCTGATACAAAAATCGCAGTCTTTTCGGACAGTTAAGCTACCATTGAATCCCAGCCACAATTCTCACAATTCGAGAATGTCAGGCGTCCCTTAATGACCTAGGTAGGCGTTTGGGTTCTGAACAAAGGAACATCTCAGGCAACTGTAGGGCAGACAAGTTTGTAAAGATAGGCACTCTACTCCCTAACATTCACTTCTCAGATAGTGGTATTTCACTTGCAACAGTTAAACAAAAACATCTGACAATGAAACAATAAAACAAAAATATCTGAGTATTAAAAAGCAAGATTTGGCAAATGAACTCTCTTATCAGATGTACAGATTGATTTGGCCTAAACTAGACCAAAAATACACCAGCCAGCTATTTCAAGTAAACCGTTACCTGCTCAGTACTACCGTATCAATACAGACGAATCATTTTTCGGACCTCTTTTCTTGCTCATTCTACAGAAGAAAATAGTATCACAAAATTAGGGAATTGCTCAAATTTATAGAATTATCATGTTGGCTCATCTTTACCTAATGGAGAAGTCGTGCTTTTCGTTGTTACTCGTACGCTGACTTCTAGTGGGGCATGTTTAATTGTACCTTTGTCTTTGATTTTTAGGCAAGCCCCAGTTCATATCATATTTCTTATTTAAATCAAATTTTTAGTATTTGCAAAAATCCTAAAGTTACTGGGTACCAAATCCTTAGAGTATGCTTGATGGCATCTCTTTTCGAAACATATTTCTCCCAATTCAATTATTGTTTTCATCGACTTGTGACTTGTTTTTAGTTTAGTGTGCGCAAATGCGTCACTGACTTCAGTAACAAATTACTTATACTAAAATTGTGATACAAATTTTAAACACACTCCTTTTCCTTTTTAAACTTAAAATATTTGATTAAAAAGTCCACAATTTTGCAAATATATAAAAAGATATAAAAAGAAACCTTTCGATTAACATTTTATCTATGCTTAAAAAGTCAATATATTTTTTTATTTTTATACGTTTATATGGTCAACGAATAATTTTCACCAAATGAGAGTCCAATATGAGTAGAAAATACAAGCCGAAGAGCCCGAGGGGCCTACTGTCAACAATAGATAGAAAACCAACATCTCGTTCAATAAACTGGGGTTATATAGCTACAGAAAGCTCCCATGGTAAAGTTCCGAGAAGTTGTATTGTAATATACCTTTTTTAACCAATTTTGAAATTTTAAATATATTTTACAAACTGTACTTATATATTACTTCATTTTATACGCTTTTGAATGAAGGTCTGAATATTGTTTTTGTTATTTTGATTCCTTACAGCCATTATTAATGGACACAGAAGTCATATTAGTTCTCTTCATACAAATTAGTCGTTATTAAACTGCACGATGAATTTCGGTTAAAACTTTTATAACTTCCTTATAAGCTTCATTTGTCGAGATATATAAAATTTTGAAAATATTTTTAAATTAAATTTATTACTAAACTGAGTTATAAAACAAACGTAAGTTAATTATAAAAATTTATATTATATAAAATAAAAGTTGTTGATAAAACAAAATCATACTAAGCATTGCTCGTATGCAAACTTAAACGAATCATGAGTGAATCTTGCAGATAAATCTCTTACAAAATGTAATTCATTTATAATTCATTTATGTCAGTCCTTATTTCAACACTTTATTCCCAACATATTTGCATAGTCTTTGAAAAATTTTTATTGAATTATTGCGTCTAAAATGCATGTCCTTGTTTCATATACTTTCAGGTACGGGTACATCCGGCACGAGTTCATCTGGTGGTGGCAGCAGGCCGGGACACAGAAAATCATCACTTGCACTAACGCCGGAAGATGAATCGATGGATACACATCAGGTAAGTGCACAATAGCCTTTTTATATGAATTTTGAAATGTCCCTGAAATTGATATGTGCAACATGCATTCGTCTGCCAGAGGAGACGACATATACTGGCAACTGCTAGGTATGTGAAAAATGGCTTTGAGATTAAATTTCATTTGGTTTCTAACAAGCACTGCAAATTGCGGTGAATATTTGAAGGTAGTGTGGCTTCAAAGTACTCATATGTACTTGCCATCAAATAGCAAAACTGATTCAATTATGACTATGCCACAGAAAGCTGCCTCAGCGTGGTGGCTAAGCCCGTATGCGTGTGATTTATGCTGTTATTAAATTATTTGATTGCATTAGTGATGTGAAAACCATAAAATTCAATATCAAGTAAATTAAAAATTTATTTTGGTAATTAAATTTGTTATGGATTATTTGACACAAAAATTTATGTTATTTTCCGATATGCTGACAGATATTGTACAAGCGCAACTCACTTAAATGGTGCGGTAACATTTTGCAGTTGCCTTATTTGGATCACAGTTAGTTGGAACTGCTCCATCTAAATGATCAAATTAGTTACCAATAACTTTTTATTTCACCAAAAATAAAAATTGACAAGTATCAGCCTGTAATAGACATTTACAGGAGATGCCTTCAAATGGTCAATAACATATTAGCCAACATTGTGCACAAATTTTGAACTGTCAAAGATTTTTAAAATCACTAATAATTACTGCCCGCAATAGTAATAAATCTTTTTTTGCAGGCAGTTAACAAATTTTTAACAAATTTTAACAAAATAATACGAAAAGTATTACTAAGTTAACATTTCGAAGAAACAAAAAAAATAAAAATTAATATTAAATTAATAATTACATTAATTAAGTTAGCTTTTCTGATTGATTACTTGATAGATTTTTACTGAAAAAATTAAAAAAACTCGATTGCAGCAGATAAATAAAAATAAATTTATGCTGCCCTACATTTCATGTTTAAGATTCAATTCATATTACAGATAGTGTTAATATATCAAATTATATCAGTATTCATTATTATGTTAATCTTAAACAGAGAAGTTTCGAACAGTAGTGAACTACAACAACAAAAATTATTTTTATATTATTTTCAATTAATTCAATTTTTGGCAGACCATACAGCTGTTTCGAGTATTGCCAAATACACCTCATCAGTGGTCTTGGAAATAATTCTTGTATTTAGTTATTTGTAAATAATTTTTTGGCCTATAAGTACGAGCAATGAAATCGTGCCCTACCAAATTTCAAGCGCAGAGTCACCGCTCCTTAACCAACTGACACAAAGCCGCAAGGAGCGATGACTCTGCGCTTGAAATTTGGTAGGGCACGATTTCGATACTTTTAATAAGCTAACTTTAAAGTTCATCCTATCTTTAAGTCTAACAAAATACTTTATGTACATATTTCGAGCTCTTTTTTTGGTGTTCTAAAAACTTTGTTTGAACCTAATAAAGTAAAGTGTAATAAAGTTCCCTAAGATCAGGCATTTAACTCTTTCCCCCTGAAATAAATTTAAAATTCATAATTATATGTATATTCAATATTAACACATCGTAACTAATTAATAAGCTAAACATTTTTTATAAATGACTAAAATTATGTGAAAGATGCTAAGGTCCCTATTACAACTCTCCCCTTTTTTAGCACATACATTTCTGGCTATAGGTTTAAAAATGGTGTTCCCTCTTATCAAACATTTTTTTTTTTGAATACGTCTCACCCGAAATCAAACTTACATTAACATAAATGACTTCACTGTAAAAAATT